AACGCAAACGTTGACGTGGAGATAGTCGTTGGCGCTGGAATCTCTGAAAGTATAAATTAGAACCTATTTACACGCCGTATATAATACTTCATTTATTTATATGCAAAAAAACCGCTGTACACTAAGTAGACCTTCATGTCAGTCGTCACCATCGGACTGAAGTTTCAGTAGAGCAAGTACCAAAAATTTATCACTGGAAAAGATCCTGAGCCATTGACATCCGCATTCCGTCCTTATAAATTTATTGTCAATGCTTTCCATCTTAATATTATCATATAATCTCCTTCTTGATACTGTAAATTGTTCAGGATTTGAGAATAAATTTAGAGGTAGAAATCTGTGCCAAGTTCAAATGTTTGTTGGTATCTACGAAATATTTTGAGTAAATAATTGACAGCAAGACTTGATTTTAAATCTAAAGAACATGTCAGTTTACAATCGATCTTCATATTTATTTCCGCATTCATGTTGTTTATACAGTATTGTTACATGTGGTGGTCTTGACAAATTTTACTGAAATATTATGAATTAAATACATTTTTTCGGTCCATGTGTGTGAAGGATGATTTGGAATTCCAAGTAAACTGTTTTGTACAGTAAACACAAGATATTTTTTGTATAAGTTTAAAGTAGGCAATGTTGATTCAGCTCATTTAATATATTTACATCCTTGACAAAATCCACATAATGTAAATAACAGCCAGGTTTTAAAAAAATTCAGTTAATTTCTTCATTATTATTGCGCTGCATCAACAGCCAGAAGGCCAATAACAGATACAGCACAAGAGAAAAACACAAGAGCACGATAACAGGGATTATTAAAAAAATACGTGAGTGATGAGGAAATTTATACATAAAAGCAACTTGCTACTGAATACGTCAATATCTCTGTAATAATAATAATAATAATAACAACAACTAATTACTCTGAACCGGAAATCTTTACCCTTAAAGTTCCGCTGGTAGCTATGATTATCGCCTGCTTTAATGATCAGTAACTCTGCTTGTTTCCAACAGAATGTTTTTATGATTCTCAAAGTAATCAGAGATTATTTCCAAACGGATCTGAACAACTGGTCTTTGCAATTGAGGAACATTGCGTTATCGAATGTTATGTAGATGAGCTTCGTCTTCAAGGGTATCAGTGCTAAGTGAGTGCTTATGATGTGTGTTAATATATAAAATGCCATAACGAGGAACTTCGTTCACTACGTAAACACATTTACACAATTCAAAAATGGAAGCATAGGAAACAGAACCGCTACTCTGCGCATGCGCCTTCATACCCTAGAACTTACTGAGAACTTACCGTCCAGTTTTATGACTCCATCGGTCTCTCCCAGTGAGTTCTTGGCGACGCACTTGTAGGAGCCGAAGTCACTGTGTTTGACACTGCGTATCTTCAACAGCATGAATTTGTTGTAGCCGTTGTCCGTCGACACGGCTTCGTATTTGTCCCCTGATATTAACAGCATGCACATACACAACCTGTTAAGTTATCTTATAGAAGGCAAGCATTTCAGAATTTGCGTATTGATTTCTAGCTGCTAAATCACAACGATCATTCAGTAACATTATTCTGGGAGATTCTGTTTAATCTAAATTACGTTTCCCTGTCAAATCAATATTGTTTTTGTGCCCCGTGTCTTTAGGAGGCATGTACATTTTTAATTATTTTTGTGAACCACTGGTAATAATTTAAGTAGCTCAGTCAGTATAGTGAATGACTACGGACTGGACGACCGGGGTTCGATCCTCGACGTAGGCCTCCAAATCGACTCTGGGGTCCGCCCAGTCTCCTCTCCAATGGGTACTGGGTCCTTTCCCGGGGATAAAGCGCGGCCGGGGTGTGAAGCTGACCACTGACCCCCATCTAGAGCCGAGGTTAAGAATTAGAAGGAGCTATACCTCCGATTTCAAGTAAAGAGACAAGGGTAGTTTCTTATAATATTTTCCCTTTTGATGTAGTTTAAATCGATGTAAATTCTAAATGTATATACAGAACTAAATATAAGCAGAAAATCTCTGTTCGCTATTGTGTCTCTGCAGTTGTTTGCCATTGCTAATATTAAAGTTGAATCTGATGAACACAAAATTGCTTTTAAATCACCAAGTTCCGATCAGTAAACTGTGTTCTGCTGTTTGTTGTAGATCTACGTCTTCTTTGTTGGGTTTCAAACAATTTCCACAAGGGATTTTGTGTCGAGTCACAACACGAATCTGTGTGGCACACAATTTTTCTTCGTATCTGAGAATCGTTGCTGAAAATGTTTCTGTTGGCTCAGTTGTCATTTCGTGTGGCTGTGAAACTAATAGCCTATTAAGACAGTGGTCTTAGCACACAGGCTGCTGCCTTCGCTTGAAAAAAAATACCTTCCTCCCTCTAGCACTGCAGAAAGCTCTAAGCCTATTACGGAAACAACGGATAAATATTCCGTACGACAAGCTCCGTACTGATCTAGTTTTAAATTAATGTGAGCATTATAAACTATTTAATCAAATGTGATGTTCTTATGTTTAAGTTATAAAAGGTACTTTCTTGCCTACTCCATGGACCCGAATCTTTCCTGAGAAGCAAACAGTCGCTCAGCCACTTAAGAAGTTCCTAACATTTTATGGAACCCTAAGGTTCATTACCCTGTTCACAACAGCCCGCCACTGGTCCCTATCGTGGCACACATTTCCTAAAAATAGGCCATGACTTCGTGTAAGAAATCCCGGTTCTGTGATGTGTCCATAGATTCTTGATTGAAAAATTTAATTACCTCATTTTACCGTTAAATTTTAATTAATATGTTCAGTTTGAGAGTTTCCGGTTACCACCAATATAGAAACAGAATACACTAATAGCCTATTAAGACAGTGGTCTTAATAGGCTATTAGTGTGGGTTATTATTCGACACTTGCCGACATGCCAGATTACGACCATTTTATAAGTAAGTTATGGCAGTAGTGTAAAATCCGTATTACGACGTGTTACATACTCACTCCAACTAGCTGAGCTGGTTAGCAAATGGCTGTCTCTCCGCGGTAGAGTATTCAACTATTCAAGACATTTCCTGTTGGAAAGGTCTTCCTGAATCCCCTAGTGTACTCTAAAAGGGGAGTTCAGAAACACAAACAAGTGAAGCCATTAACGTGTGTGTGTGTTGACACAACTGTGTAGTTACATTAACCAGTTATGAGTGTACCAGCTTCATTCCACGTGACTGCAATGTGATTTTAACCCTGTTAGCATTAACAAAAATGTAAAATCTTTACTCTGAACCCTACAGGAAAGGATTTTTTATATTAATTATACAAGAAGGAAACATTTGCTATTAAGTCAGTTGTGTCATAGTATTTCATACCGTGAAAATTGAACTGGCGTGTAATTGGCTCCGTTTCTGCCAAGTCTGAATTAATTTCTTACACTCCTGATGTATAGACCTAACCAGTAAACCATACATCGTCTGTATTCAAAACATACGTATACGTTGAAATGCTATCAACAAACAATCTCTCATAAAAATGACACAGTATAACATAAAATACAAAAATTAAAGCTAAGAACTTAAGTTTGTATTTAGTGATCAAATGTAATAAGAACATCTGGGATTTAAAATTTTAATCCTACAAACATAGCGTGTGAAATATCTGTATTCGGATAAGAATTTCACCTTTCCAGTCTTGTTAGTAGAAGCATGAAGATTGTGTAGCCAAACTACATCCATGATTATGGCATCAGTCATCACTGACCATGAAACAGAAGAACTTTATTCGATGACCTCGTATCCTTACTGCCTGTATCTTACACGCCATCAAAATCCTCCTGTACAAATTAATAAAGAGTCCCACAAGAGCAAAATAAACTGAATATCACCACTACGTGGGATCGCATATATTATATAAGGTTTTCATAATAGAAAGAAGTTATTATTTATATGAACAGGTCTGCTAAAATTGCAGCCTTCTGGGATAACTGAAAAATTATCAGTCGATTGATAGAATGAGTAGATTCCACAAATGTGCGCCTTGTAATCGAACTCCATTCACGAAAATGGCAGAAAATATTACATACAATGCGATCTATACGAGATGCAAATTTTGCTCCTTCGCTTCAAAATGCCTTTGTGTTTTTCTCAGGAGTTCGATTAATTTTGTTTATGCCGTTAAATTTTCTCTCGTGGGATATTAGGCATTGCTCCGTTCAGGGTAAGTGAGATTTGGAACAAAGAAGCACCAAGCTCGCCACTAAACGCTCGAGTGCTTGAGGTTTTGCGCCGCTTATGAAGAAAGGAAGTTCGTAAGTCGAATGTAGCGTTACTCCTTGCTTGCGTTCTGTGAAGATAATCTTAAAGCCTTTGGATTTTAAATAAAACTATTTGATAAACATTTGCTGATACACACTTTATTTAAGAACACTCATGAATGTAATTCCACTGGCACTTTCATTCCAAGACATTTGCTTCTTGGGATATAATAAGATTAAATTATAACTTACGAAAACTTCTTAATTTAAATTAGCTCAATGATAAATTTTATTGCCTTTACTGTCATGGATGTTCTGATACACTGATTATCAATTTATATTACTATGCTTAAATTAATTCTTACTTTCAAGTCATATAAAACCCTGAAATTATTTAAGTTAATTTTTAAAGTACTAGGCATCGAAGTGAAAAATGTCGTAAAAATCATTGAATTTTTTAGGGAAATGTTGAAAAGTAAACTCTTATTATTAGTGTTATATATAACTCAGTTCTCTGGCGGTACTATATACGTAATAGATATGCAGATTGCACATATTTAACTTTGTACCATCTTATGACGTTCAATATGTGACTTTTTGATAACGATAAGCCCTTGAAATCCACAAGCAGTTAATTTCTTGAAAATCTCATTAACTGCCGACAGAACACTTGAAAGGAAACCTGACTCTGAAATGTTTCGAACTGCTTACATTTGATTCGCCCAGTGACCGTTATTGATATTTCGTATATAGAAGGCGGTGAGGAGAACAGAAGCAGCAGAGATAATCAGCAGATAAGAGTATGATAAACTGCGTATTTTTCTACTTTATTGGATACAAACACACACTCATATACCTGGAAATGCGATGTTATTTCTTCCCAGTCTTTGGTAATGTTTGTCATACATCTTGGGAGAAAGGAGACCCTAACTACAACATTACTTCATTTTCACATTGAATATTGCTGTTAATAGTAAGCGTATATACAAATTTCGAAACTTGTTTACGTCTTGTTTTCCAGTGTCGGTTATAAATCCACTGTTTTTATACTTTGTGTACACATTGTCAAGTTCCTTTCAGCAAGAAATACTTCAAATTGAAGAATTGCGTCCACAATATTCGCCGTCACAATCCTGGGAGATACGTGAGATACAACGGTCACGTGACAGGAATATAAAACGACTTGCCACGTGACCCGCACACAAGAAATCTTGGCTTTGGGTGCGCGTTTGTAATTCGTTCGCGAAAAAATGTTACATTCTTTCCACTGATTTAGACAGACCCACACGGAGAATTTATTTTGGAATGAATCTATTAAGATTTTGAATGAATTACATGTGAAGTTTGTTGTCGTCTTCTGTTGTGCCAAGAATTAAACTTGAGTGGGAAGGTAAACACTCAATATAATTCTGCATTCTCATTTATATTTTCTAGTACAACAAAAGGCAATGATTAACATTTATTTGACACAGGTTCTAAGGGTTAATGCATTTTTGTTTGTATTTAATATCTGTTAATATATTTCTGTACATAAAGTAGGTATATGCATTTTGAAGAAACCAACCACGGCTTAACTTCATGGAGGAGATGCCTTGTTGAGAAACCAAAAACCTTTCTCTCTTTTCGATCAAGTTTAATAATATCATCTCATCTATGCCTATACCGCCCAAGTGTTCATCATGAGTCCTCGTTGCCGTGTTGGTGGCGGTGCCAAGCCTCTCTGAAATGTCAGTAAACTTCTACCAATGAACCCAGAAGACAGATCATTTTTTTCTCGACGCTGTCAAAACCTGAAATCTCACCTCTGCCCCTACAAAGCTTTATCTCTTTCAAATTTCAACTTACTTAACCTTGATGTTTTATGTGTGGTGTAATCTCTGTATAAGTCAGTTATAAAAGGACCAGATTACTTGCGAGTTCATGGCGCGGGGGTGAAGAGCAAGGTGATAAGAACTGCGCGCGCACCGACACGCTTTTTTTTATCCGTTCTACCTGGCCGTTCCATGCACCGACCAGGCCGTGCCGAGTGCAACTATCCACAGCACTACGCAGTTCAGCTAGCAAGCACTCTGGTCCCTACTGTACATGTACGCAGACTTTATCTCTTTCAAATTTCAACTTACTTAACCTTGATGTTTTATGTGTGGTGTAATCTCTGTATAAGTCAGTTATAAAAGGACCAGATTACTTGCGAGTTCATGGCGCGGGGGTGAAGAGCAAGGTGATAAGAACTGCGCGCGCACCGACACGCTTTTTTTTATCCGTTCTACCTGGCCGTTCCATGCACCGACCAGGCCGTGCCGAGTGCAACTATCCACAGCACTACGCAGTTCAGCTAGCAAGCACTCTGGTCCCTACTGTACATGTACGCAGATACACGCAGGTTTCGTTGTATTGTTTCATATATGCTAATTGTTTTTAACTTTCGATATGGAACATCAGAAAAACTTAATGTGAACCCAGTAACGATTTATACGATGTTGAAGAGTCAAGATTTGCTTCTGAGGCTCAGAGTTTTCGAGTGACGTCACCACGGTGGTGACGGATTGTGGCTTCACTTACCCGACACGATCATGTCCCCTCGTTCTGTCGTCCAGTAGTTGATAGATGCGGGGTACGCCTCGGAGTGACAATCCAGAGAAACGTCCTGCCCTAGATACGCCCCTACCAGCTGATTCGATATGGAGAGCATCGGTGGAACTGTAGCAGTACAAGAAATTCAATTTTATGTCTGTCGTTATCAGATTCCTTCAGAGTCAGAAATGTCGATATCGGTTTCCAAATTTACGGAATGAAATGTTCATACATGTTTATTTTTCCATATATGTTTCATGGGTCTTGTACAGTATATGCAAACTTCAACATAGGCTGTGTGCTAGAAATATGACGCAGTTTTTAAGTTGAAAAGATGTTTACTTTATTTAGTCTAAGACTGAGATACATATATAATATTTTGTTCATTATTAATTTAAAATTAATTTATCAGAATGTTATTATGTTTATCAGACTTGTATAAGTCAAAGCGTTTTGAGTAATGGCTTAGAGTATTTGACCGAAATAGTAATTTTATTATTCGAAAATAATAAATAATGTTTTTTGCATTTTCATTATAACTGTGAATTTGTTAATTTACAAGGACCACGAAGCCATAAAAACTTAATTTCGTCACTATTTATTTAATAACTCTGTCATATCGTCAGAATATTACAGTACTCCTGTTCTCAATGTGATTTTCAGTTATTATAGACGCTTAAAGCCCGGTCTACACGTAACGTCTTATCGTACGTTTTGTTTGATCAGTTAAGACGTATCAGTCAAAATGTTACGTATGGACAGAGAAACGGACGTTTTGCCTGAACTGAATGAAGACGGACGTCTCTCAGAAAACGGATCGGTTAGAGCATTGTTTTCCGGTAAAACGTCAGTCTTTGTAGCTTCTACCTGTCGCTAGAAATCTTAGAGTAGCAGTCAGTCTCTCATGGGGTGTGATAGCCCTTCTCATGGTCTTGTATTTCTGGAGTTACTAACGATAGTAATTTCAAATAAGTGTCCGTATCCATTCGTAAATAATTACGCCAATCTTCAGGTTCATGACGTAATTCCCGAAGCAAATTCACATGAGAGAATCTGCCCCTCTTTAGCAATCATCCTCCAGACCACCGTGAGCGACGAACAACTTCCTTTCTTTTCAATTTCACGAGACACAATGAAATAATCGCTACAAGTAATACTTCATCCATGGTATCCATGAAACGATAAGACGTTACGTGAAGACCGGGCTTTAGACAGTAAAACTGTGCTTCATTCAACTTATAAACAACGCAGAACGGTTTAGCCACCAAACTAATTAATTTAATCTCTTAAATTATTCAGCCGGTGAGCTGACTGTAACTTACACTGAACCCTAAGCGCTACTCTCTTGCTGATTGAAGGTGGCACTCCATTGGACGCGATGCACAAGTACGCGACTGACTCGCACGATGTGCAACACTTCGCCGTCAACAACATTCACCGAAAACCAGCAGTCAGACCCGGTGAGTACTTGATTAGCTGTCAATGACTTTTGTTGTTGTTGCGTACTGAAACTACGGCATTAACCACGTGTATTTTGTCTCAGAAATGTTGATCTTTGCCGATGAAAGTGTCTGTTCTGATTAGGGTATGGGTCAACCGTTTCGTTACTGGGATGGCCGGTTCGAATCCCGCTAAAAGGCGTGGATGTTTGTATTTCTGTGTTGTGCTACCCTGGCCTGGCAACGGGCAGATCACCCGTCCGAGGAATCGTAATTCTGAATTGTAGTGGGCCAGAAAGCTTAATACGTAATAATTTGTGATGATGATCTGTATCATGACCTTATTTTACCCTTGCATATTTTTTTGTAATAATTAGACATGTTTCTTGCAATAAATAAAAGCCCACGTGTAGCTCATATAACAAGAAGGAGGATAATATAATAATTTATTGTACCTGAATTATGCATTCGGTTATTTTAAAATACCGGTATAGACAAATTAAACCGAAGAAATGAAAACCGGAATTATATGAGATACTAAGTAAACCACATCCAGTACAATGAAAGGGTAGACTGACAGCACTAACTGAATTATCTTGGTGACACTATAAACCTTTCAGCAAAATATACTGTACTCTGGGCTGTTGCGCTGTGCAATTTACTGACGTTTCAGAGAAGCTTTCTGCCTCTGAAACGTCGATTAATTTGTTCTAAATCACGCTCCTCAGGGTCCCATAAAAAATCATCTTCATTTTTGCCGCAGGAAGGACCTGAGATCTTACATACTCGATGTTTTCTTTTTTATTACTTCCGGTTCCGGGTTATATATATAATTTTATTATTATTATATCCTGCACGGCGTCGGTCTGATGCTTTAGATACCTGCGTGAAGGTGACTTAAAAAGTTTGTTAAAGTCTTACAAATTTTCGTCTCTTCGACGCCATGAATTCCTAAAAGTATTACCTCGCTTGTTCTTTAATTTAGTAGTAATCAGATCTTAGTAAATTTCATTTTTCTCTCTCTATATATAATGATATTCCTTCTGTCAGATCTTATATACATCGCCCTTTCGAAAGACCCTGTATTTTTAACTCTATTATTTGGTACAATAAGTAAAGGGGGAGGCAGATAATCGTATTAGCTGCCTGTATTGCGGGATGCGTCCTCTCTCTTTTTTTCTTCGTGGGTCGGACTTCTTGCCTATACAAGCAACGGGCGTCCCTAGAGAACTTTGGCTAGTTACTGTGAACGAGATGCTGCTCCAGGCTGAAGCTAGCACATTCTCACCGGAGCTTGATCCACGACGGTCATCACGACAAAGGAGAGGCAATCCCTGAAGCGACTTCACGTGAGGGGGCTATTCAAATGGGCTGTTTGCTGCCAGACGAAGGTACGAGGGATAACAATGCGAACTCTTTCCATGCCCTACTTTTGTCCGAAATTCAACGAATCTTATTGTTATTTCGGAAAGTAAGTCACGAAGTATCTCCTCGAAAAAATCATTTTAGAATCATAAAGGAAAAACTTGTGAAATATTGGTTTCCAAATATACCAATGCTAGCAAATTGGACTACGCTCTCATCAGCAGGCCAAGTTTCCGACCTCTGAGAAATGATTACAGTTCAGTTCATTAAAGACCAGTAAAATTATAAACGATTCTTTTTTTAACAAAAATTGCATTAATGGTATGTTGTATATTCTACTTATATTTGAAAGTAATGTTGTTTTAAGTATTACAAAGTGTCATAATCTCTCGAAAAACAATGAAAATTTTTTAAACATTCTGTATCACATGGAAAGAAAATACATACATGCTTTTGATTATGTAATGTATAGGGTACGGTACATATTGAATATTGGCACCTGATTGTTGTTAAATCTGTAAATATATTACTCGCAGAGAAACAGCTTGGAAATGGTAAGTTTAGTCTATACACCAAATGCTTTAAAGCTGAATACCCTCATCCGTATCTTCAATCTCATTAGTGTGGCATGCACGAAGAGCCATTTTGTGGCCAATTTCTGCGTGTAGTTTTTGCTAGTACAGGTTCTCACTATATTAAATTTAATCGATATAGCAACAGTCTCACACCGTCGCCATGTTTTGTAATTATAAAAACGCTCGTACAGAATGTTACGTTTAAGACGTATCAACACGTTATATATCCGATCGGTTCGTTAGTTTCCGAAACGAAACTCAAAGACTTCGCGCGGCCGCCATATTTTTATTTTAAATTATACGAAAGAAATTGCCTTGATGGTTGTTGATGTTTATTTTCATATACAATTTCATGATTCTGTGTATTACTGGCGCTAATTTCACTTGCAGTTCGTAAATTCGTCAAGAGAGTCTCACAGTTCCAGTTCTTAATTGCAGTAAGTCCAGGAAATTAAAAGTTATTTCTAATATTTGTCTGTTTAGGGGCTGCCTCTTATTACAGAAAAATATCAGATCACCTATCGGCTAACGGAAGGGATATGTTTTAGACGTTGTTCAAAGAAATAGGGAGTCATATTTAACACCGATTTTGATAAAAGATAATTAAATGATGTATAAATACAGATAATAAATACAGATAAATGCGGATCAGTCCAACGAATCAACCGAACTGAGTAAATCCTAGGGACATTTCACGCAAAAGGGAAATTTAATTCATATCCATACATCCGTTTACTTTGCCATGTTTTAAATAATAATTTTTGTCGTCACCCGTATTTTAAATCACAAAAAACTTTTCATTTTAACTTATAATTTGAATGGAAGGATGTCAGCTCTAAAAACGCACATGCACTTTTTACCTTACAAACTTCCTGACGTTCAGAAACCATAGGAGTTGATGTTTGTTACTGGTAACAAGATTTGTAAATAAAAGGAAGTGAATATTTGTCATTTCCACCTTAGACAGACAGAAATTTGTTTGAATTCCTCCTTTCCGTTAATCCAGGTTTCAGTACGGAGCGGATCTCCCTTATCCGGTATCAGACAGACAGTTGGATGCAGACTCGTTAGTGCGCTTGTCTTCACGACAATTCTCTTTATTCTGTGTGTGTCGATCATCACATCCTCAGTCTGCTGACATCCTGTCTCAAGATGATTTTGCTCGGAACAAATAATTATAGTTGTGGTATATCATTGGAGATCCCGTGCCGTAGCCGCGCGGTCTGAGGCATCATGCTTCGGACCGGCGATACGGAATGCGCGCTGGTTCAAGTCTCGGGGAAAGAAATTTCTCATGAGATTTTCGACCAGTGCATGGGACCGGTGCCAACCCAGCATCGTGAGGAAATTGGGGAGCTACAATGAGTAGCGTAATCCGGTCAGGAACAGGAAGTTACGTGCCAAGGGCAGAAACAAAATATAGTACATATTTACCGTATTTAATCTTCGGTTTCTTAAATGAGGCTAAACTTGTAACTGAATGAAATTTAGAGCTCCGTGAACATGTTCATCGTTTAACATGATCGTGAACATAATTTTGATAAAGGCCTATCTTATCGATCTGTAAATGTTATTGTACGTATATGAAATACTAATTTTTGTATGGATTCCAATTACGAAATGAGAAAATGCATAATACTCTTAAAAATTTAAGGCGGTGGGAATAAATTACTTTTGTAAACTAAAACTACGTGGGAGGAAAAACGACAACGCGTGCCTTTTTAAGTTTTATTAAAATAACTCGTAATAGGCATAAATTATTTGTTTCCTGAATATTTTATATTGAAACATTTGCCAAAAACAGTTATCTTCGAACAAACTACAGGTTTTGTTAAGAGTGTACCATACATTTTTATATATTTTAATTTGCACGTAATTAAAACTGTTTCATTGATAGTTAGTTGGGGGATTTGTTTATGTTTACGTATGGGGCCAATTTTGTCATCATTAAAATTACTCGGTAACTGCTACAAAAGTTGTTTCCTCCTTTAGGATAGCATTTGTTGTAGAATGCAGTTACTATTTCTGCAGTCTCTGCTTTCACATTGCAGTTCCCTGCATTTTATGAAAAATTAATGGGCCTTTTAAATACTGATAGTATCATATCATACATTTTATCCGGTGACAAATTAATGGGCCTTTTAAATATTGATAGTATCATATCATACATTTTATCCCATACTATGTATTCAGCAGAAATACAGTACAGATTACAACGTCTGAATGTATTAAAAATGCAATTACTTATAACTTGTGTTATATTTTCCACACTCTTATTAATATACAGGAAAAGTATCTCTGTTATTTTAATTCCAGAGTTTTATTTTGTAAGACGAAACCTAACGCGTCTATTTTATAACAGAAAGGAAATAAAAAACCTGATATACACGAAACCTATAATTAAAAATTCTACACCCTATAAAATGCTATATTCCGCACTTCTACAGTGGTTTGCTTCAGCGCTGTGATCAATAGTATGCATTGATTTACACATGCACAGAAGTATCCAATTTCGATACAAAACCCGATGTTTAATTCTGTTAGTGAACTTTAAGCCCCAGCTCATTTGCCTATTTCCATGTCAGTTCTTTTATTTATAATTTGTTTAATGAAAGTTATGGCTAAATTAAAAGAGACGACCAGCGCTGAATTTTTGAGCTTAGGAAGAGGTAGCGTTGAATGTTTCAAGACACTACTCGTACACATAGGAGACTCAGTTAAACCTATAAATAGTCGGAAAATGATAAAGTCAAAGTGTAAAGTTTATGAATAAAGATAAGAAATGTCATCCACATCAGACACCGATCGGTATAGATTCTGTGGAAATGTCGCACTCTTTAATTTTGATTGACATATGTCAAGATAAATTATTCGTCATTCATAGAAAAGCGTGATTTTTTTTTTGTTAATGTGTATAAATGGAAAAAGCTGGCCGGACTTCAAATTTTAAAATGCTGTTGGGGCATATGGCAGGAAAAACCTTTCGAGGCTTTGACATCTTTAATAGTTCAAATGAACACTTTTATACTTCGAATCAAACACGGCGCGTCTGAAATACTAAGATCAGCTGTTTAATGCTGAACAGTGTAAATATTTCTATTTAATCTAAATATAACACATAAGCTACATATATAATCTGTGGGCAAAATTAATGTTAAAGTTAAGTGGTATATGTACTAAACACTGTGCCCTGAAGAGGATGTGACCTGGAATTATCAGCATATATAATTTTATTTGTCTTAGAATTTCTGTTGTATTCTTTCAAGTGTCTAGGAAAGATATAACTTGATTTCATACAGTTACTTATAAGAGACCAGCAATGTAATTAAATGTGACACTAGTTTCATCTACCTTGTATTACAGAAGACACTTTGAATGTCTGCAAAATATGGATTAATCATCAGCTGTTGTGTATCATTGTCTTGATTGGGTTTAATAATATTTGTTTAGTAGTATGAAAATAGTATGATTAATCTGTTATCACGTATTTGATACAGTACGTTGAAATTAATTATATTCAACGCCCTTTAGATGTTTTAAAGGAATAAAATGTTAACTTAAACGTTTATAACTGCATGCAGAACATATAATGTCGAAATCATATGACGCTGGAGAAACAGGTTGCACGGAGCAGAGATAGAATATAAATTTGATAATACAGCTAGTAAATTTTGTAATGTAGAAGACTAAAGCCAATGAAAGTTATGTTTACACTGATTAAGCACATCACGTGCTTAAACTTGGTGAAATGATGTTTCAAATCCTGACATACACTGTGGATGAAAACGCTTTAAATTCAATAGAGGGGAAAGTGTTGGGCAAGGCCGTGGTCTAGGCATCACGGAGTTTTCCTCCGGGGGCTTCCCCGGTTTCTCCGTGGCATCCCAACAATTACTCCACTCACACACACAGAAGAAGGCAATGGCAAACCACTTCTGATCATCTGCCAAGAA